TCTGCCAATTGCTTTTGCATTCTGCTTGGGACGGGAGACATCTAATTCTTGCGAGGGGAAAATCTCGCTTCTGCCGATCGTTGACTCGAAAATCGCGAGAGCGGGACCTTTTCAAACGTGAAACAATGTTGAAGTGTCTATCAAGACAACTGGATAGAATAAGTTTCGGACTACGGTGCATTGCAATCGCGAAAATACAGGACAGCATCGGGGCAGGGAAATGAATAATATTGTACCTCTTTGTCTCGCCAGCTTTGTCTCGTTTAGAACGTTCCCCTGGAAGCCAGGAATGAAAAACCGCCCCGTGTGGTAACCTAACGAACCCCTAGCTACGGTATCGACTTTATATGCACATGCACTTGGCACACGCGCGCACACAGGGTGAAAACGTAATAGCCTGGGTCACGGTGACCCGGCGCGACTGTTCTCGGGTTTAACTTCAGCCTCACGGCGGAAGATCTAAACGTCGAAGTAAATTTTGTAAACCGACTACGAGTCGTCCTCGTTCGCAGGCATAAGAGCAGCGATGAAAATACGTCAACGTCGCCGATACTCACGTGGGAAATCGCCCGCTTACTTTCATCCGCGGTGTTGCGGAATTTTCTGTCAACGTGTCACAATTACCGATGCCACGTAGCGCCGTTCCCGGCGGGTGACACCTCCCTTTCGCTCTATACCGATCAAAATCCATTTTCTCGGAAACTGTCTCGCGCGATTTTCCGCACCAGATCGCCGAATGTAAAGCTACCACACTTAAGTGTACCGTGTAATACCGCCACATTCGAGGTACCAGTTCCTAAGTAGAATGGAGATTCGAGTTACGCGCTGATATAGGAGACATTTTTCCCGGTATATTAGCGCGAGGTGGAAATATACGCGGAGCGCGCGTTTGTGTTGTCTAGTTTAGCCAAAAAATGATCCGTATGGATGCTATACTGATCGTTTTACTGGCTAAACATTTCAAGAGACATTGAAGATGATCGGAAGAAAAGTTGATTTTCTAAAAACTTAAAATTATTCAGAAAAAAAAATGAGAAACGATGTAAAAAATCCAGATAAATCGTAAAATTTCTTGACTTCTCCCTGACGTTACCTCCAGATTTCTAAAATTCCCTGCCAATTCCCGGATTCTCCAAATTTCCCTGACCACTGGACACCCTGCTGTATCTCCGTGCAACGCGATAGCGGACGCAATTCCTCCCAATGCCGCGATATTGCGTATCGCAAACGAGACTACGTGTCCGTACGGTTATTAAAAGAGGAAGACTTATCGCGTCACAGGCAGATAATTACAATGCGCGTGTATATTTAGGAACGTATTTATGGATACCGGGGAAATAAGTGCTCCGATAAGGTTTCTACGTGCGACGACGTAAACGCGCGAGATAAACTCAAGGTATATTGATTGTATCGATTACATATCTTCACTATTGTGACACACTGATCCCTAATTATAAATATCTCATAATTCAAGGCGAACATTATACATCCATCGTCACTCGTTTCTCGTCGACGTTTCGTTCGGTCTAATGGTGGTCCCCGATCCTACCGACTATTGAGAATATTTTCCTAACCCAGAAATAATTGATGACGAGACGCGAAGAGAAAGACTCGTGCCGTTTTGTTGGTGATAAAACTTTCATCAAGGTCATTCTCGTGGAGAATCAAAAATCACAGGTCGAAGGTGGAATCGCGCGACGCCAGAGATATCGTGTCGCGGTAAAAAAAAAAATAATTTCAGTCGACCGGGAAGTCGAAAGTCAACTGACAGGAAATTGTTAACTTTCTTGGTAAAAGAAAGCTAACGCTTGAATGACGTGAGTCCGAATCGACTTGCGAGTAAGAGAAGTTCTCCAGATATCGCACCCACAGAAAAAATTTCCGGATCCAATGCTGTTGCGCTTGAATGTATCATAAAATAGGATCGATATAGCGACAATCGTATTTATTATAGAGAAAGGAATATTTTAAATGAAAAATTGTAAAATCTAGAATAAAAAGATAGTTTGTATCATCTCTTGTCGAATATCGCGGTGCCAACTTCGTGCGTTGTAAGATGGAGGGAAAATTTATTCTAAACGCAAGAATATATAAAGTTACTCTTGTCTCAGTATAGTAAGTCAATCCTTTTCAATTCGATGGAGGAGAATAAGAGTTATTGATTTTATTTTGACATTGTCTTACTTTTATACTAAATGAGGTTGCGAGAAATATAAATGTCTCAAGAATATTTGTTGTCTCGGTAACAGAAATCCTTTCCGAGGGTGCGGCGTTGAACGTGCGACGCTGAAAGTACAAACGAGGGGTAAAAGTGTCTTCCTCGTTTCATACAAGCAAGAGTCAGTTACTCATCTTGAAAGAAATAGGCAGCCTGTATCCCGTCGAGTTTCGCGTTTCTCGCGATCGATGATGGAGACGAACCCTCTCTAATGTCTGCTAATCAGCTGACAATTCCTACGTCACATCGGTGCCTTCGATTCCCGATAAACGGTCCCGTTCTATTTGCGACCTACTCGCGAATACTCGAAAACAATGACCGATTCAATGTCGCCTCTCCGCAGGGCCGATAATCCTGAGCTTAATTTAATCCCGATCCAAGTTGAGCATCTCGAGATACAATACATCTCGATGAATTTTTAACGACCCAGTGTTCCCTTAGCGGAAGTGAATTTAACGATCCAGTGTTATTTAATGCGCGTTCGAGGTTCATAACGTTGACAGTTCAGAGCCGGTAGTGATGGAAGCTCGTATCTTCCACTCGCTCGTTCCGTAAGCCTCGTGGACTCGTAAACGTCCACTCCTTGAGTTACCTTCGCCTGCACGCGTCGTAATTCAATTGACCGTAGAACGTACGTCTGCCATAATTCAACAGATGTCTCACCGCGTGTCCACTTCTCGCCCCTCGAGAGAGGCCGAGTGCATTCGATTATACATCGCGCGCGAAGCTCCTCCGTGATCGACGGAGTTGAATCCGCCTCGGACTGCTCGCCGCGACTTCGGCGGGCATCGCTGATTGACTATTTTTGCGACTCCGCGGAAAAGCGTCACGCCGCGCGCTGAGCGGCCTAGTTTCGCGTTCTATGCAACGGGAACTTGACGCTCTCGATGTCACGTCGCCGAGATGCAATTGCTCGCGCGCGCGCGGATGGAGAACCAGATGGTTATCCCGTGGATATCAGAATCAGGTCGAACGGTTGATCACGAGTCTCGTTAATAACGCGGGTCAAAGTCTCACGAAGGCGACGTCTGGGACCCAGCCAAGTTTTGCGCGACGACATGGAGATTCTATCGGACGCATAACGCGTTGTCGTTCTACATTCCGATGCCAATTAGCAGTCTAACGGCGTCCCGGATAAATAATCAAGTCCTTGTCCCATGCCTCCCATTATCTTGTACTCGCGTTAGAACGTCGCGCTGGACATGACATGCTAGCGCGAGAAAATATATACCCGATGGTGTAATTAACAGGAATAAATCTAGCAGCTTTTGCATAATTATCGCATCAGCGGTCGTTACAGAGAGAAAGACAGAGACGCAGATCAAAGGAAATACAAAAACGATAATAATCAGTAAAATGTACGCTCATTAAGTTGCGTTTGCAGCAGTCGTATACCTAACGGTTTTTTATATTACCGATGCGAGTCACTGGAAATTACCGTGTTGACTTATGTTAAATTGACGTGCGTAAAAAATGGACTTAATAAAAATTGCACGGTTTCAAGACAGACTTTTTACGTCCCAGTGAAACGACACTCGAAGTACACAAGGATCATCTCTTTAATTATTTAGACACATAACGTTTTTTGCATACAAGTATTAACGTGAAATCGTCGTAAGTTAAATCCGTGTGTTTTCTAATTTCCCGACTTAACACGCGCGAAATAATCAATTCAATTTAATGCGACGTACATTAAATAAGTCGATAAAGATTTATCGATATCGATTTATATGAAAGTTCCGCTTGGATCCTTGGAAAATCCTTGGTGCCGATCCCAGCCCCGGCTGAGACCGCCGGGTCGCTCGCGTCGACGGTGCGTATATTGGTTTCGCGATGGGTGTGATTTGCGGTCGAATCACGAACGGTCTAGAAACACGGCTCGCCGCAAGAAGTATGCGTGCTGCTAAATCATAGCTCGCGCCTCGATCGTGCCACGATCGGGGAGAAAGAGAGAACGAGCGCGGTAATGAAGCGAGTCGCCGACACGCGGCGACCTAACGGGACCAAAACAAAGAAGAGAGTGACTAAAAGAAAGTATAAAATAGGACGACGCGCGACGTATCGCCTAACTAAACTCTCGGGGATTAAAGATAACGGGATAAGAGCGGGAGCAGGCAACCTCTCCGTTCGAGAGCACCGCGCGTTGTTTCCAGAGTTCCAATTTCATTCTAAAAATGTAGGAGCATATTCTATACATCATAAACTATTGATTTAAGCAAAACAATTTTTTTTTCGATTTTTTGGTCATTTGAAAAATCTTATCGATTGTTTTTCCGACACGGCTGTCTAATGAACCGCGCGCCGTGATAGAATCTTCGGCCTCGTTAGCCGAAATTGATGGCCAGTATACGCAATACCGACAGAATTAAGCCGTGAGGCTTTAATGATACGCTATCGGGCGTTTCGAATGAGTTGACGAATTTATCGCGCTACACGGGAAGAACCGGTTCATCCCGAGATACACGCTGCTGGTGTAAGTATCGCCGCGCGTACGAGTAGTTATAATAGACGCTGATTAATTTGCAAAAACACGATCGCTCACGCGTCATCGGCGACGATATTTTTCTTCCGGCACGATTTCGTAGCAAGACCGGGAGACTTTAATGCTAGTTTTCCTCTTGAAAAAAGAAAAGCGTGTGCTTCGCAGCAATGGAATATCTTCCGGTTAACGTAATCGATTCGCAGCAACGTGATTACGCGAGATGACGCGTTCTCGGGAAATCATCGTTGATACTTTGTGCGATAAGAGTCACGGGCGAGGAAAAGGAAGCCGACTACTCACCGGAACCGTAATCTATACTCGGCGTGGGCGGGAGGCTGCTCTCAATGGCGGCTTTGCTGAACAGATAGATCGGATTCGTGTCGGTTCCAGCCGAGTAGGAGCACACACGTGCGTTCGGTTCCAGGCACTCGCCTCCGCTCATGAGCAGCACCTGATGCGCCGCTACCACGCCACATTCCCTCTCGATCGCCTCCATCAGCTGGCTGACACTGCACAGAAAAGTCAATTACGCATCAACGATCGGTTTCAATAAAGGCTGCGCTTGAAACGGCACGGAACGCAGATTCTTCGCTCGCGAACTTCTCCTCGAGCTTCACTCGGAAACTTTTTATCTCCCCTTCGTGACTCTCTTAGAATAACAAACAATTATATCGGCGCTCAAACGTGTCTTTGTCATCCGCAATTATGGCAGCACACATAATAGGTATAGCTTCTAGATTTTCAAGTATCGTTGCACGCGGAGAGAATTTTCTCTCAAAATTGGTCCCGCAGATCGTGTAAACGTGGGACAATGTGGCGTTTCGAAGAATTTTATGACTTTTTTTATTTTACCATACATTTTACTAGTAAAACGATAGTAAAATGTATGTAGTAAAATACATTTTACTATAAGTAAATGTATTTTACTAGTACAGTAAAATGTATTTTACTGCCATTTTACTAGTAAACCGTATGGTAAAATTTTACAAACTCTAATAAAATTCTTCGAAGCGCCACGTTGTCCCAGAATTTTATAAGTTTTTGGAAATTTTACCAAACATAAAAAAAACTTTTTGAAATTTTACTAGTAAAATTTAAAAACTCATAAAATTCTAGGACAACATGGCATTTTGAAGAATTTTATTTTACTAGTAAAATGCATAGTAAAATTTTACAAAACTCATAAAATTCTTCAAAATGCCACGTTGTCCCACGATCACATGACTTGCAGGGTAAATTTTAAAAGAAACCTCTCTCCGTGTAGGTCTAAGAAAATATTAAGATACTTGAAAAAGTATTAAGCTAATTAAAGTGTAAATATATGGATTGTACATACAGATTAAATGGAGTACGTGCGGTTCGATAAAAGTGTTAAACATACGATACGCGTGTTTGTCGAGCCCGATAAAAAAAAAAGTATCGAACGTATCCTTTCCGGATCCCCCGGGTCGAAACTGCGAAAGTCTTTTCCGCTTCGGTAAATCAGGAGCGATATCACGCCTTCGGGCAAAAAAGGAGCGCTATTCGGTTCAAAGACGGTTACGCTGATTACGACCTGATTTCCGTAAAGATCTCGTACCGCGATCGTAATTGCCGGATGGTGCGTTTCCATCGCCGGACGCGATGCAACGGTGAACAAGTAACGAGGATAAAAAGACGATCGGGCGCGTATTGCGAGCGCTTTAACGCGCTAGAGCCGGCGATCGGCGTAATAACGCGAGGATAGATGCGCTCGGAAGGACAATCGTCGGGGGCCTCGCACGGCTGACGTAACGTGATTGAGTATATTGCCATTAATTCTTAAAACAGATGGACGTACCTGTTTCAAGTACGCTGGCGGTGCACGTGCCTCGAAAAATCTGCGGCGCGAGTAATTAAACTGCCACCACTCTGTCAATCACGTACGCGGCGGCTCGAGTGCGCTGATGCAAAAAGCGTCGAGAGGCGGTCGAGGAAAGAAATGGGGGGGGGGGAAGGAGAGGGGACGAAAAAGAAGAGGTAAAAACCGACGCGTGACGGCGTGGCGTTGCGTAATCGCGCGTAATGTTACACTCTCGAGTTTTATCCGCCGCGGCAGTTTTTAATTTTCGACGTTTAACTCCCACGTCTTTTCCCACTCTCGGCCTCCAATCGCGTCCCGCTCGCGACGCTTTAACGTGCCTCGCGTATCGCGATAGGTATGCGTTTTTATCCTTTACGACGTTTTAAAAAAAAGTCTTGACTCGTTCGGAAAACGACGGTCATAAATGACGCGTAAAAGGAATCGGAGCGCTGCGCCGGGCATCTTTAACACTTCGTGCAAGGTTAAATAACGGATAAGGAGCGCGCTCTTGGCTTCGAGGAGCGACGAGAAGGCGAGGAAGACGCGCGGCGCATTAATATAAGAGAAACGACGTGCTCGCAGTTAAAGCTGATAAAACGGTCGCTAACGTCGATTGTCGCCGCTCGTCCTTTTCCTCGGGGTGAAAGGGAAGATCGTCTCCGGCGCGACGCTCGCCGGTTACGTAATAATCCGCGTATACGATTTTCGTCTTCTCGGCGAAAAGGTGTCGAGCGATTCAACGCCGGAGCTAAAGATCTCGGATCGCGCTGGCGCGGCGTCGGGCGTCGGAAGCGCCTCGCGCATCTGGCACGGGGGAAACGTACAGCGCGGAATTATCGCCAGTCACTCGTGGCCGACGCTACTACAGCTGACTACGCGGGAGCACGTTCAACCGCGCGCCTCGCCGCGTCCCGAGACTGCGTGTCGTCGATGGTTACGCACGCGTCACGTTACCGCGCGGCGCGGCTCGTATTTCACTCGTACACGCGACGGCGCGAGTTGCTGCGATTTCTTCGCGGTATCGGCTTCTCCGCGAAGAGGAAAGAGAGAGAGAGAGAGAGGGGGGGGCGGGGGGAGGGAGCCCTTCTCTTATTCAAATCAGCGGTTATACATTTGCGTGCTAATAGATCTTTACGGCGCATGACTCGTAGATCGTCCAAACTCTCGAAAGGGGCGCGATATTTTTAGTTCGTTCAACTCTCAAACCTTTCTCAGGAAAGGCAGTGGCGTTGCTCGGAAGGAAACGTCTCCCGGGAAACCGGAGCAGCTGTGATGCGCGGGTACCGCTTTAGTTATTTCAATTATACGCGCAAGCGCGTCGAAACAGTTTCGAGTGGCCGAACGGAACCCACGGTGTTTACACCGACGGCCGCGCATGCACTTTACATGAATTTTCACGCGAGGTGGCTTTACGCGGAAAGATTAACAAGACCGAAGTCGCGTCTCGGCGTCGACCTCACGATTGTGAGTGCGACGTTGGCTCGCGTGATTTTCATCCGTGCGATGCGCAGATAGTCATTATCGACTAACGTAAACAAAGCGAAGGTAACCACGCGAGATACGAGCGGTGGTAGCCAGAGTGTGTTTTTGCAGATGCCACTGTTATTAAGAGCCGTCTAGCTCAGCGTTTAATCGCGACGCTACGGCCGGGCGGTTATTTACTTGTTGTTCTCGCGCAGTGGACGCGCGATCGCGATTACCAAACAGACGCGGGGGAACAAGAGCAAATCGGGGCGGAGGCGCCCTCGCGAATTGACACAGATCGTTAATTGCTGGCGACGAACGGGGCCGATGAACTCGTCTCCACGACCGCTGTCTTATAGCGGCCGCTCGCACCGATGGAACACGATGCTACTTTACCTACTAGATTCCTCGCGAGAGCCAATAAGGATCCAGAGCCTTAAGGCCTGTGTCCACGATGCTAGAACTTGGGCCAACACGGGCCTTTAGATCAGGCGACTTGACGAATTCACAAATTGCAGTTCAAACCGATTGACTACCCCCCGTATTCACCAGATCTAGCCCCCGGTGGCTTTTTCTGTTTCCTAAACTCAAAGTTGGGCTCGGAGGACAGAAATTTTCATCGAACGAGGAGGTCGCAGCATCCGTAGATGCCTATTTTACGGAGCAAGACGCCAGCTATTATTTGAACGGATTAAAGCGGTTGGGAGCGTCGCTGGATTAAGTGTGAGCTTTTCAACCCACCCTCGTATTACTACTGGTGTAAAATCGAGATACGACCTTGCGAAAGAGAATCAGTCGATATGCATCTTACCTAGAATTTTTTTCAGTGCGTATTTAACACGACCGTAAATACAAGAACCGATTCCGAACAAGCCGCGGTGTGCACTCACAATCGGCGCGAGCGACCGGGTTCGCCGTTGATCTATTCGGGGATGCAAGCTGGAGGGACGCGGCGCAAAGAGAGAACTCGTACGCGTGCGATTCATTTTATAATAAATAATAATCGGGAAGCTGTGACGCGCCGATTGAGATCACGGAGGCTGCGTCGCGGCACCGATTACGCAATCGCCCTCGTCCCGCGTCAAACGTCGTCGGTGATTTTTTACTCAATTGACACTCTTGACGTCACGTCACTCGAATGTGAGGCGAGCCTCGTCGTTAATCCCTCAGAACGCTGCGCATTAAGAGCCCGCGGCTCGTTACCCGACCCGCGATTCGGCACGCGCGACGCCCGGCACAATGTAGAACGCGCGCGTCGCGAGCCAAATTGGTGTATTTTCAGTGCGCGCGTCAGTGCCGCGTGCGCGCGCGCGTTTCTCGAAAGCGCATAATCGCCTCCGCCGACGAGACGCGGAGCGATGCGTTCACCGCGCCGACACGATGTCTCCATTCGCGCGGCCGAAGGTCGTTTATCATACGCTAAACTGATGCGTAGAAATTATAATCCCGCGCTCCCCTCCCCCCCCCCTCCACCCCGCGCAGCGTCGGTCTTTATCGACGTGGACAAATGATCGTGATAAATGGGATCGACTTTCCTTTTTTTTTTACCCGTTCTCCGACAGTTCTCTCTTCAAAATGAACGTAAGTGATCATCGCCAATTACATGGTAAAGATCTAGAGAGATATCATGTCTTCGTGGCGACATGCCTAACGTACACTGATAAAAAAAAATATTACTTGTGAAAATTAGTCGTTGGGTGGCTCCTAATAGCTTATTAACTTAAATTTAAAAAAATAATAAATTGGCTCTCAAGCTTTCGCGGCTGCTGTCTTCTTCAGTCGTAATGGCTTCCGGATGGTTGCCGCGTCCGTTTGCAGTGTGTCTTCAATTTCTTCAATTTAAGTATTTATTAAATATCAAACAGTAGATAATTGTAAATTTAAAAATTTTCACTTTAATTCTATAAAATGTTGTTACCAAGATATACGTTTTACAGCGAAGAAAATTGGATTTCTCGTTTGACAAAGACAATGATTTCATTTAATAAATAGTGCTTGTCTGTCTCATGAAATCTTTATTTGAATGCAGAAAATGTAATGATTTAAATTAATTTACTTAATATAACATACAGATTCACTTGAAATTTGATATTTTTATTTAAATAGAATAAATATTTACTTCAGTAAAAAAACTTAATTTTAAGTAAATCTATTCACTTAGTTTAAAAATAATTTTTTTCTCTGTGTACGTATTTAACTTTTTTATTTAATTTACTTCCTTTCTTCTCTCATACTGGTCAAATCATACTGATACATTTGGCATATAAGTAGTTCCCATTTCTGTCCAGTGGGCCTAATGGTATGTGACCACATGCCATACGGCGACTAGATGCTGTAGAATACACTTGAAAAGGGCCAAAACCCATGGTCGCAATGTCGTGTTACAATAAAGAAAATTTTCCTGTATGTCCGATACGAGTGGGTGTTTATCTTATTATCTTATTTTATCTTTACAATGCCCAAAGATGCCTAGTAATGCCTAGTAATGCCCAGTAACGCCGCAAATCTGTACACCACAGTGCCCTCAGCGGTTTCCCCCTCGCATGTGTAGTTACCGTTGACGTATCGATAAACAATCGCGCGCTGCGCAAAATAAATTCTTCGTATCCTTCCGCATTAATTTGCATAAAACAACGATTTCATAATTAACGGCAAGACGCTTCGACCGACGGAAACGACAGTTTTCTCTCCTCTTCTCCCGCGAGTGTCACGATCCTCGCTCGATACGCGCGCGCAGAGCGCTCTACAAATTGCGATTATTATTTTAACGGCGAGTATTCCGATACTGCATTATCGCGAAAATATTATGCGAGGTTCAACGTTGAAGTATCAAAGTTCCCGCGCGACGTATTACATTTTCGGCAAACGGCGGAGTATCGCGCCGATATTCCAGCAATTTCAACGGGGAGCATTTCTTCCCGGCAATTAAAACGGAGCGAAGAGGAAGAGGAGAGGTGGGAGGATGTAGCGAGATTCAGCTTTCTATGACATTACTTTTTTCTTTCGCGAGCGCAAAGACGCATTCGCAATTGCACTTTTCCTTTAAATATAGCTAAGTGGTTTTTTGCATTAATCGATTTCTCTTGACATTCTATTATATAAATATTAAGACAAGGTCATTACGAGGAGAGAACGTTTCGCAATATTTCATAAGAAAAAGCGTAGAGATAAAATATGAAATATCCCGGCGCGCGCTCACTCGTCGATCATCTTTTCCTAACAACAACATTTACATTGCGGAGCGACGAGAGGGGGGGTCGACTTTTGCAAGAAAAACATATATGCCTCAATTTAAAGGAAAGCGCAATCTTGCAGATACACCGCGGGTACATCCAGAGGCGGGCACTTGCCCTCCCCGGAGGAGCAAAAAATTTAACACTCGCTCTGCTTTTGATAAAGAGAGATTTATGCAGCAAGAGTATATATAAATTTCAATTCATCCAGTAATTTTGAAAGTTTGAATCACGCTCAAGGCGTAAACCGCTGAGGGCATTGCCAAGATAAAATAAAATAAGATGCCCACTGGGCATCGATGGGCACTGGTGCACAGAGAGAAAGATTTCTTTGGATTTAGTATTCCTATTTATTTGGTTGAAATTTGTTTCATTGAAACAATATATGCTTATACGAAACATTATATGTTTTGAATAAGAATTTTGTTGTTTTATTCAAACAACCTGTATTATTTGATAGAAAAAACACTATTATTTAAAGTAATATCTTTCAATGAAATAATTATATTATTTGGCCAGGCGCTTATAAAGTTTGGTGCTGCCACTAGATGGCCGCCGAACTCGTAAGTAAAATCGCGGCAGCTATGATATATAAGCGACCGCATCAGCAGACGCAGTTTAATCATTTAATAGTCTATTTTTTATTATGGCTGAACATAGTGTACTAATTCAGTGTTTATCTTTCTTTTTTTAATGAAGGGAAAATTCTAATGTAGAGAGAGAAAGATGTATGCATATTTGTTTCACATATTTTCTATCAAACGATAATGCTGTTTGAATGAAACAATAATATCGTTTAGATTAAAGAGAATGTTCCTTTCGTTTCAAACAAATATTTTATTTGAAGTAAAGCTATTTATTATTTGAAAGGTCAAATAATCATATTTGTTGAACCAACAATTGGTTTGTTTGGACTATTCCAAAAGATTTTCTTTGAATCTAATAAAATTTATTAAATTCAAAGAAACCGTTCTCTCTGTGTGTACATGGATTTTGTCCAGCGGTTTACGATCACGCTCTGGAAAAAAACCTTGTACGGACGCCCTCGGGTCCCAAGAATGCGTCCGTGAAAGAAATCCTTCTCGAAACCTTTTCGAAGCGCCGGAATTTCCGGTGGCGGCGAAGAGAGGAGGACGCGATGGGGGATCCGAGGCGGTCGGGGGTATCGAAAGAGCGGCGCTCGTTTGCATCATGCGCGCGTGTCGTCAGCTTGGCCGAGTTTCGCCGTCGGGTCAAACTCGTGCGCGCCACGAGCCAACCCACACCCACGTGCGTCGCGCTGCGCCGCGGAGCGAAGCGGAGCCGCGTCGATTTCGTCGTGCATTATTTTCGGCGCGAGTTGGCGCGCAGCGACGCGACGCAGAGGAGAGGCTCTACGACAGTGGTTAGTCGCGGGAGAGCCTCTTTCTTTCATCCGGGCGGGAAAAGGATCGATACGTGACTCGTTCTCTCTCCGTCCCGTCACGATTTTTCCAAAGGGTCCCACGGGGCCGGACACGTTGCGACGCGAGCCTCCCGCGTCCCTCGCCCACGCCCGTCGCACGCGGAGGCGGCGCGCTTTTGCAATTCGTTGGCCTTCGCGGCGCGGGAATCCTTGGATTCTCTGTTAGGGAATCGCTCGAAACGCGGGCGCGCGATTATTATTTATCGCCGCCGTCGACGCAACCGGCACGCGAGTCGGCCGCGAGACACACGCAGCGCGGCGGTGTTATCGCTTCTTACATAATTGGCGCGGCCGTGTCGAGGAGAGAAGGTTTAAACGCGTACGCCTTACCTTTGCAGCGCCAGCCTGATGTCGAAGGTGATGGTGCTGCCGGTGTCGACGTGAAAGATGTAGAGCATGTTGCGTCTCGTGGATGGCACGGCCGACGACGAGGAGAAACTGCCAGCGTGAGCTCAGGCTACAAGTTTTTTCCTCCACGGCCCCCTCCCTCCACCGTGGGCCCCGGCGACAGGACGGTTCCCTTTAGTCAGCTCGCCCGGGGCCGTACCCCACGTTCACGATCGTTCGCGAGGCCGGCCCCCTTGAGACTATGCCGCATCGATCAACGCGATCCTCGCCGACGTCGATCCAACGAGGCTACGCAGCCTCTGAGAATCGCGCCGCGTTGTCGTGTATCATCCAGATGTCTGGCGCGCGCGAGCGCGTGACAGCCCGCGAGTCCTCGTAGTCTCCCCCGAGAGAGCCTCGAGTCAGCGACGTCCTTTGTTCCTCGCCGCGGGGGACGAGCCGGCAGGACCAGAGAACGCTCGTGCACCACCTTACGTCATTCCGATTCTCCCGGCGGATCTAGACACTGGGCATCGCAGTCTCCTCTCGTTGCACACGCCGCTTCGCCCAGCACCGTTGCCGTCCGATCGCTAAAATCGATGCGGTCTCCACACAGCGTCGCGGCGCGTCGTCGCTACGTCAGCCGCGACGAAAATCGCGGCGCGCCAAGTGTCGGCGATCGATTCGGCGACGGCGACGGAGGGCCCCGTTCCGGGTGGCCGAGGACGCGGACGGGGCGCGGCGGGCCGATTCACGCTGGCGCGCCGGGGACGAGCGGCGACGCGTCCGTCGTAGCTGCTGCTGCTGCTGCTGCCGCCGCGTCGGATCAGCTGCTCGGCAAAACAAAGCACTCGCGCGCCGCGTTACGCCACCGCGTCCGCCGCCGCCGCGCTCTCTCGCACCCCGTCGCTCTCTCGCTCGCTCGCTCCCCGACACGAGCGACACCGCCGTTCATCGGCGACGGCGGTCCGCTCGTCGCACTGGCCTCGTCTCCTGGCGACGCTGTCCGGGGGGGGGCGGGGGGGACGGTCGTCCCTCGCGAGAAGGGAAGAAAACACACACCGAGCGACCGAGCCCGCGACGCCCGACACACAACACAAACAACGCTGCGCCGTGCGCGCACTGTCAGCCGACGCGCAAGAGTCGCTCGCGCCCGAACAAAGAGACTCCGCTTTCCCCGCCGCTTTTCCACTCGTCCGCGGGTCTTCCCTCCTCGCCGACGGCTGTCCGGATCGTTCCGCGAAGAGCTGGCTCGGGCAGCGGCACGAGAAATGCGTCGGTCGGGGATCTCTCGCCTGGATATAATTGGATGGAGGGGAAAGGGGGAGGGGACGACGGGCGGACCTGCTCCGCACAGTCCCGTTCTGCGTATCGTACTGACGCAGCGCGTCGCCAGCTGTTTACTGCCGCCGCCGCCGCCGAGCACGGCGGACAGAACGTCCGAGGCGCGCGCGCGCGCGCTGGTGGGGGGCGGTGACTCCGCCAGTCGCCGGGGCGCGCTCCGCGGCGCTGCTGTCGCGCAGCAGCTAGGAACGGACGCGCGGCTCCGGTCGTTCCGTTTCCTGGAGCTTCCTCCCGGGGCTGAGAAAACGAATCGGTGAGTCTGCCGAGCGGGCCTTGGCGCGCACGCGATGCGCATTAGTGCGAGCGCTAACTCGCCGTTAGAATCTGGAACGACCGGCTCGCTGCGACTCCAGTTCGCCGCAGGTTCGGGAGAGATAAAGTCAACGGCACACGATACTATTTTTCCTACTGGATTCCTTACGAGAGCCAATCAGGATTCAGCCTTAAGTCATCTGATCGAAAACTCTGCATTCTGATTGGCTCTCGTAAGCAATCCAGTAGGAAAAATAGTATCGTGTGCCGTTGGCTTTACTTTGTAAAAGTATATCTAGTTGCAGGTTTTTTTGCGCGCTAAAAATGTAACTAGTTGCAGTCGCTGAAACAGCAGCGAGTCCTTAGCTTGCGGTTACTTTCTTCCCCGCCGGGAAATAATTGCACAAAATTCTGAACGCGCGCCGAACGTCGGCCCTGCGGATCGGCGATCACGCTCGTGACGTCAGCGAGCGCATGCGCCGCGGCTCCGTTTTGCTGCGAGAATAATGCATGTACATCTGACCCAGTGCACCGACGCTACGCTAATTAAACAGCGGGTTTGGACGATAAGTATGCTTTCCTCCGCAACATCTACGCACGCGTTTGCACGCGCGTCGATAGCCGGTATCGAGATCATCTATTCGAGCGAATCACGGGACGATCAGAGCAACGTGCGTCGTTACGCGTGTCGCAATATCTTTCATCTTGAAAACAAAGCTCCCAGCGTTTCTCGGAACTCCGTGTCGTAAACAACAAATAAACGACCGAGCTGACGCTATGAAATGTGTATAGATTCCAAAAGGTAAATCGCAAGGTCCACGGACCTTTGTATCCACCTGCGCATTATTCTTATACGCTTCTCCCCTGCCGTAGAAAATGTTTCGCAACGAAGCTGCCTTTCTGACCGTCGGCGGCTTCTTGAAAAATATCCCCGACGCGAGAGTTCGCGGCGCAAATCCGACGCCCGGTCGTGAAAATAACATCGCAATTTCGGTGCCTTCTCCTTCGCGTTCAAGTCGCGTAGCAACGCGCGACTCGCGCCGTTCGATCCTCTCGTCGCGCTTGCGCGACCTCGGGACGCGCCGTAGCGCTCCTCTTCTGCCGCCCGACGACAAAGCGTATTCCGAGGCGAATGCGATGAATGGGGGAGGCACCGAGGAGGCGAGGATGCGGACGCGCCGAAGACTTTCGAGCGATGCAGCGCCGGCGACTCCGCGTCACGTTTGTTTACCCTCCGCCGCGCGATCGATATCCACCGCGCTCCTCTCATTTCATATTTATCTTTCACTTCTTTTCGCATTTCATTTTATTTCCCTCGCAATCTTATCCCGACCGCTGATCGCACGCACTGTTCACTCGCCGTTTAACTTCTCGTAATAACTGTTCCTATACGCTTTACGGGACTTGTCCCAGAGCGTGTGGTAAATAACGATTCTCTCTCCTCCACTATTTTTCTTTTTGTGCCCTCTTGCTCGCCGTTCAAGTTCCTTTCTTGCATACTCGTAGGCCCGGTTTCACCTACGTCGCTTAACTTTCAAGCTTAGCTTGATTCGTTCTTTGTCTCTTTCCAAGTGTCACTTTAGAAAGAGACAAACGCGAATTAAACCGAGATTAAAGCCCAATGTCCACGATGCTAGAACTTGGACCAAGTTCTAGCATCGTGGACATTGGCCTTTAGGCCCAGTTCAACAGTGGCCAGTTAGCTTAACTAGTTGTCAAGTACCCAAGGAGAAGAAAAAGTCGGATGATGTCAATTTGATGTCATATTGACCAAACTTTGACATAAATTTGGTCAATATGACATCAAATTGATATCATCCTGACGTTTTCTTCTCCTTGGGTACTTGACAACTAGTTAGCTAACTGGCCACTGTTGAACCGGGCCTTAGGGCTTTAGGGGACTTGTCCCAGAGCGCGTAACAAATAATGATTCAGATTCTCCCCTCCCGCCCTCTCTTCCTCCCCCTCGTCTCTCCAGGCCGCTCGCGGGGATTGCGAGGAAAACACCTCGATCCGAGAATATCGTTACTTCCGAAAATAACGCGACAGCCGAACCCGAGGCCCGCGATCGCTCGCGCGTATCCGCGCGAGGTTCGACGACACCTTCGGGGCCGGAGGTGAGATCGCCGTGCGATGCCGTAAGCGCGCTGGGCGAGAGCAGATTTAGCAACGTCTCCCCCCGCGCGAGGAGGGCAACAGGCGTAGATGCAAGAGGCATATTACGCGCGGAGCCGCGACGTAATACTTTCGATTCGGCGGCGAACGACGCGACGCAGTAAGCGCGAAACGGGACGCGTTTTTCGCGCTTCTCTCCGTATTACTTTTATTACGATAAGAGGAGTGTCGCGCGCCGCGACCAGCGCCGTTTAACGCGCTTACTCTTTGGCCAAGTTATCTGGAATTGGAGACCCGGCGCGTTCGACGCTTTTTATCTCGAGTTGCATTAAGCCCGACGCGTACAAAACCCGGGCAAAACACCGCGAAGGTCCCCATGTTTTTGCCGGGTGCCGAGCCAAGGACGGATCGAGAGTAAAAGTGTTACGTTACGTCGCCGGTCCGACGAGAATTCGGCGTTCGCGGAGCCGCCGCGACGCACTTTGCGATCCGCACGCCGGACGACGCCGCGAATAATTAGAATACAATGAAGCAGCCTAGACATGCTGAATTTCAATTCGAATGCGTAAGCGCGGCATACTGCGCCGCGAGCAGCTCCGACGCAGTAAAGGCCGCTCTTGTCGCCGTAATTGCACGTGCACGTGGCGGTTGATAAGGATGTCGGAGCTCATACTAAATGTGACGTACACTGAGGGAGCCCCGAGCGCGTAATAACGCGCAAATTTACGCCTCGCGGACAAGAGAGAGAGAGAGAGGGTGCGGACGAAGCGGTTACCCGTCCCGAGAAAGGTGTAGGCCCTGAAAACCCGCCAAGTCTTATCGGTCCGCAGACGCTATCTCCGCGGCGATACTCAGCGGGGATTCGCCAGACGGAAAGACGCGTAGAACGCGTGGCGTGTCAATGATTCAGTGTCGGTGATGCAATATCGCGCGGCAAAGAATCGCCAATGCTTAACGTTGTGATAAGGTAATGAGTCAGAGGCTCAGGTGTACCGTCTTTCACCGTTCGACCGTGCGTCGTTCAATTTCCCCGAGCGCTCGTTATCTAAAGCTTATTCTACAATAGGCGCGAAACGCGAGAAATCGGCAGTTAATCGTCCCTTTCGTATTTGACTGTGATCGGTCGGTCTCTTGCGCCTGGGAGAATTGTCTCTTAAAATTTGCCCTGAAAATCACGTACACAGTTGGCAAATTTCGTATTTCAAATTATTTTGAGATTTGCATTTATTTCGTGTTAAAATATTAACAGAGTATTAGTGTGATCATTTAATATATCCATATTATGTTAAAATTAACACAAAAAATCGTTTGGGACCTGTGATATCTGTTAAATTTAACGCAAATTGTTCATGGGGGACGACATGGCACTTTGAAGAAATTTTGCTGGTAAAATGTACGGTAAAAGTTGAAAAAACTCTCATGTTGTCCCGCGATTGCAATTATTTTCAGGGCGAATTTTAAAAAAGGAAATTCTCTCCGCGTGGTTTCGCGTAGGCGCGGGTAGAGGCCGGACCGTGGCAAAGCCGCGAATTCGATTTAGCGTAAACGAATTATAAGCGTGCAAAAGCTCGCCCCCTCCCCCCAGAGGCCGCGCACCGATTTTAATCAATTCGCCCTCGGACGCGATCGCGGGGTCATCGTCGATCGTCAATGACTCTTTTTCCTCGTGGAATGCAATCTAGTGGAAAGTCGATCATTGGATCGTGCAAACGTCGCGAAAAAAGATTTAGACTTTGAAAATCTATTATCTCATAACAGAGGACTTGCCTCTGCTCGCGGAAGCCGCGCGCGAGCGGATTTCAACAGGTACATACGATAGAAAGATCGAGTAAATATTGTCTGATAGCGCGCGTATACTCCTTTCACACGTATCTGTGTCTGTGTGCGATACATTTCAGCTTATTTCCTCGTTAGTTTCGCCGGAACCTAGAAACGCGCGATCTCACGACTCTCGCGAACGCAAGGAGCCGGCGTGTTTCGTCATCCTCG